AGTAACATAGATCTTTGCAGTCCCAGGTTGGAGGTAGCAGGTGGGAGGTGAGCTTGCTGGGGGCAGAGGAGCCAGAAGAGAGTCCTGGAGTGGTCCCGAGTGAAATACCTGGAGCTGAAACCAGAACAGTGGGATACGGATGGAACAGACAGCCATTCGAGAGTCTTGGTGCCAGAAGACCTGAATGTACTTGATGATGAAAATGAGAGAGAGGAGTGAGAGGGGGTTCTAGGCTACGATTCTGGGTCAGTAGCAATGAGAGAGAAGGGAGGAAAGAGAAGTTTTGAGATGATGCCACTGTTTTTGTTTGTTTGTTTTTTACTTTGTTATGGTGCTCTTGGAGAGCCTCGTCAGGAGATTGATCTAGAAAGACCCAGTCGGCAGTTGGAAAGATGAGATTTGCACATGAGAGAGGTTTTCAATAAAATTTCAATAAAGGTCAAGGGACCTTGAGGAGATAGGCGGAAACTGGAAACAACAGATTTTTCCAGGGGGAGAGTATAGAATAGGATGAATGGAGGGCTGAGGGTGCCACGTTGGGGATCACTGGCGTTTGATGGGAGGAAGAGGAGCAGGTGAAGATGGAGAGACAATGGTGGAAGGAGAGAACTATGTCACAGAACCCAGAAGAAGAGAGAGTTTTAGGAAGGAGGCCAAGACCCTCACATGTCTCACAAAGACCAATAGGATGAGCACAAGAAAAAGCCACTGGATTGAGCAGTTGGGAGACCCCACCCTGAAGGAGCCCAGGTTTTTTGATTATAGTCAAGCAGTGGAGAGGGGAGAAGTCAGACTGCAGAGAGCAGGGGGCCTGGGTTCCAGGTGGGAGCTGGCCACCCACAGGCTGCCATTTCAAGATACAAGTGCAGTTCAGCCTGGCTGGATGGCTCTAACATTCCATTTTAAATACACACTGCTTGTATTTCACAGATGATAGAGAGCGACTTGCTTTGACCTCTTTGTATTTTAAAACTTTGTAATTCTCTGTCCCAGTTTATGTTCCTAGGAAATTTGTGGGTTTTTTTTTTTTGGTTGTCTGAAGGTTTTATGGGCTCTCAAACAATTTTTCTTGCATGTCCTCCTTCCTGCCACCAGCCCCCTCCCAGCCTACCTCCCACGGAGACAGGGGGACACACATCATTTTGTTGTGTAATTACATTGAAAGTGCCCACACTCTTCATTCATGAGTTTCTGCTTCTGATGTTTTTAATTAGCTTTCCTGGAACAGGGAAGTGTCTTCAAGTGATTTCTGTTTATTGCAAGAACAATAACAATTTATGCTAATTTTATACCCTTTAAGAAGACCAGAGAGCTTTTTCTTTGGAAAACTCGAAGAAGGTAAATGATCATTGTTTGGCTAAATAAGGAAGCAGGTGGATTTGCCCACTCAGGGAGGGTGGCAGCTCCCCCAAACACAGTCCGACCCTCCATTTCTGGCACCTTCCAGGCTTGTGAGGCAGGCTCCCAGCCAGCAATGTGCGTCGGTCCAGCTCAGTGTACTGAAAAGCAACTTGGAGGGGTTATAAAACCTAAATATTCTTTTCTGCCCATTATTACCTGTGACTGAGCCTCAGTCTTCATCTGTGAAATGGAGGGGATAGTTACTTCCTCTACACTTCTTGAGGTTGTTGAATCGAATTAGTTGACATATGCCAAAGCCCTGTGTCGCTATCAAGTAGTACATAATATCTGGTTCCCTCAATTATTCCTAGATTTTCTTTCTCCTTTAGGGAGCTAATGAATAAAAAGGTTTACTGGATTTTTGCAATGTGTCTATCCTCAGGTGATGATGCCATTTAGTAGAACCAGGCAGACTTTTTTATTTATTTTTATTTTTTATCATGGTAATATATGTATACGTAACATCAATTGTACCATTTTGGCCATTTTAAAATATGCAGTTCAGTGGCATTGAGCACATTCACATTGCTGTGTAACCAACGCCACCATCCATCTCCAAAACTTTTTTATCTTCCCAAGCAGAGACTCTGTACCCATCAAACACAGACTCCCCCTCCCCAGCCGCTGGTAACCACCATTCTACTTTCTATGAACTTGATTACCCTAAGTACCTCATATACATGACATTATACGCTACTTGTCCATTTGATTCCAGCCTGTTTCACTTAGTGTAAGGTCTTCAAGGTTCATTGATGTTGTAACCTATGTCCGAATTCCATTCATGGCTGAGTATTCCATGGTGTGTCTACACATGTATTTGTCCTTTCCTCCATTAGTGGGTATTTGGGTTGTCTCCACCTTTTGGCTACGGTGAATAATGACAATAGGAACATGGGTATAGACATATCTGTTTGACTCCCTGCTTTCAGTTTTGTTGGGTTATACTCAAAAGTAGAATTGCAGGCTGACTTTCAGTCTGAGATGATGGGACTGTATAACCTTGGTTTGGTGACTCTCCTCAGTAACTGTTAATGGAGACTCCTGGAGTCACAAGGGACACTCTGGGCCCTCGGGGGCCCGCCCTGGGCCCTTCCCCAGGCGCCTCATTGTCAAGCCCCCAGATGCGTAGTTCGTGAAGCCCTTTATGGATCTATATGCCTCATTGTCTTGCCCTCACCACAGGGTCACAGATAGTCATCCCTCCTGAAGTCAGAGACTTGGTCCAGGAACTGTCTTACCTTGATCTCAGCTTCCTGTGGCAGCCACTGGCACTGGATCTGATGGTGACCTCTAGTCCCCTCCCTGTTATGTCATGGTCAAAGGGCAGATACACAGAAACCTGACTTTCCACTCGGAAAGAATGATCCGCAGAACAAGGAATCACTTTTCCCTTATGGGCTTCTGATAGCTACAGCTAAGCACGGGACCTCCTCTGCATTGGCTGGAGTCTGTCGCTATTCATATAGATCCTGAAGAGGCAGGAGCGTGGGTGGATGCAGAGTGGGGTCTGCCAGCAGTTCTCCATCTGAGCTCTGGCAGCTTGGTTGCCACTGCTAAAGGGCTTCTCCACCTTCTGGAACATGGACGTAGTAAATCCAACCGACTCAGGAGAGAAACCACTGTGATGGTGTCAGCATCAGGGACCTGAGTGGCAAATAGGGATACTGAAGATAAGTGCCTGGGTTTCCTCACCCACGGTGTTAGAATCCTGGTTTCTCCTCACTGATCTTTCTTCTCTCCAGCATACTTTTTGTTCCACCTCCTGGAGAATAGCACGAAGGGAGCATGTGTGTAGTCGCCCCCAGTTTATTCCATCTAAGAACCTTCACTAACTTTGAGATGAATCCATCTGGTCTGTCCCTGAGACAGAAGCCAGGGGGAGGACCGGGCCTGGGTTAGGGGACTCGCTGACATTGTGTGAATTGGTCTTTTTGGGCAAAAGCTGTTGGCAGTAACCAAGTGTTACTGAGAATGTCCTATTCCATATATCACTCTGTGATAAATCTGTTGTGGGTTTTCATGTATTTATATTTCATAATTGTTCTTCTGGCTGGTTCCATGGGAAGCATGTGGTACTGTGAGGGGAGAATCCTGCTTGGCCGGTAATTTGTGAATTTGGGCAGAACACCTTAGTTTTGACATTTTCCATTTGGTTCTCTTGTGGAACGCCCATCTCCTGCTTCTCAGGTTTATATAATTAGATACAGACCTTGAAGACAGACAGACTTCTCTCATGGGAGTTAATGTTCCAGTAGGAGTGTTCTTACAAACACGCAGTTAACTGAACTCAGTGGAGTGGATTCCTCTCACTGGAAAGGATTTTAAAAATATCTATTTCGCTTCCTTTGGTCTGTGACAGATGCGTATCCTTTCAAAGGGGCAAGGAGAGGGAGAGAAAAGTGCATTCTCCTTGCTTTGGCATCTCTGTGATGTCGCCTGAAGAAGAAAAGCCCCTGAGGCACTGGTGTTGAGATGACATCGGTCTTTCCAGTGGTTTCTTTGGATGCAGAAGGGGTTGTCTCTCATTGTAACTGCGTAGAAGCCATGTTTAGTGTCTCTCTGAGGAAATAACAGTAAGTCTAGGCACAGAGGATCACTCAGCGGGCTCGTGGCTTTCCTAGGCCCGTGTGCACGGATCCAGGGTGCTGAGATCTGGAGTGGACAACAGAGGAGCATGTTTTTGTGTCAGAGTCACTGGGGATGTTTTGCCCCCAACCTGAGTGTGGCTCCCAGGTCCTGCCTGCTGGCAAATACAGGACATGGCGGTGGGGGGTGGGGGTGGGGGTGGGGGTGGGGGGGTGGGCGGGTGAGGGGCATGACGGCCACTGAGGTGCTGGCTCTGGGGCTCACTCACCACAGGGGCCTCTCCGGAGAAGTGGGCTGTCTGGCCTCGAGTCCTGGCTCCGTTGTCAGCTCGCTGCTCTGCCCTTGCAGAGTTAAGTTTCTATTTCCAGGCGGGAGAGTGTCTCCCAGTCAGGGCATCATTTGAGCCTTTGTTTGTTTGTTTGTTTTGTTTATAAAGAAGCAAGCTAGTTATTGAAGACTCGCATGCCCCTCCTACCAGTTAATTAACCCGGTGTCAATGTCATGTATTGCGCTAATTCACATTTTGGTTACATCCTTACATATCTGCAAGAATTAATGAAATGTTTGTGAAGTGCTCTTAAATTTTCTTGGGATGAAAAGTACCGTGAGGACTCTAGTAATTTTAGTGTGACTTCTGGTCTCCTCAGGGGTGGGGGTGCAGACAACTTCAGGTGAACACAATCTTTTCCTGTAGGAACCCTGCTGGGAGCTTCTCTGGTTGCTCCCAAGTGACTGCAGCAGTACTGTCCTCGGGGTGGCAGGTGGCACAGGGAGGCAGCCAAACCCATGTGGACATCCACATGCGCCTTTGCATGAGGGCGCATTTACACGTGTATACTTGTTCACATAAAGAAGTTTGGTCAGGAGTGATGCTGGATAACAACGTAACAGTAATGCTGGCGGTATTCGTGTTGCTATTATTGCTCAAGCTTTGGTAGTGGGATTAGAGGAGCCGTTGTGGAACCCCAAACTCCTGAACCTAAACCACTTTTTTTCTCCCTCTTTCTCCACAGCGGGGCATTTTCTGAAGTGGTCTTAGCCGAAGAGAAGGCAACTGGAAAGCTCTTTGCAGTGAAGTGCATTCCTAAGAAGGCGCTGAAGGGCAAAGAAAGCAGCATAGAGAATGAGATAGCCGTTCTCAGAAAGTAAGTGCTGGGAGGCACCGCCTTCTTCCCCGACAGCCTTGGGGTCATCGGTGGTCCCTGATCCAAGGGAGGGAGAAGGCTGCGGGTGCTGGCCTCCCAGAGCTCAAAGAGGGCAGTCCAAACACTGGCCAGCTGGGCGCGGGTGAGCTCTGTTAATGATGATGCTCGTGAAGTACGTTCAGGGCAATTTTCAACCACTCATCTATGTCTTTTAACATTTGTAGCAGTGGCTTGAGGTAGTTATTTTTTCCCTCTAACATCACAGCAGTCAAGTAGACTTGGTTTTGAACTAAGACCCTGACAGTCACTCTAGCTGGTGGCCTTGAGCTGGGTACTGAGCTCTGAGCTTCCTCTGTGAAGTGAAGTTAATCATCTCTCTACATATGGCCTCAGGATGAAGGGAAATGACGCTGCACCAGTGTTTGTAAAGCGCTTTCAACAGCACCTGCTGTGCAGTAAGTGCTCAGTAAAGGGTAGCTCCCATGACCACTGCTACTAGTATTGCTGTTATTGCTGCTCTATTTTATAATAAGGAAATGAAGCTCAGAGAACAGAGTCACTTGTTCAGTGCCTTGCAGAGCCTGGAATGCCAACCCCACCAGTGTTATTTCCACACTCCGAGGGGTCTTCCACTTTCTGCCACACACCTGGCACCCAGCAAGTCCCAAAGAGTTCACTATTTAAGTGCTTTACCTCTTGATTGAGTTTTATTTTTACTCCCCATGTGTAATAGAAATGAATCCAAATCTTGCCCTTAGGATAATGGCACACGCGGGGCCATTCCAAGGTGGCTGGACCCAGCCAGACAATGACCTGTCATTACTGTGGTATCCATTGTGGTCAAGCCCTCCCCTGGGTCTCCCAGGGTTTGGGGGAACAAATCCGTAGATGGTACCTGCTTTTCCTTGTTTGGAGTTGTGTCTGAGTATTGTGCTGTGAAATTTTTAAGAACGTCTATTAATAAAAGATGTTAGAAATATCCTTGAAATTTTTGGGATTTGGAACCAACGTAGAACAAGAATCCTGTCCAGATAAGCAAAACAGGATGGGAACAAGCCTTGTAGGGTCTTAAAAACAAAATGTCACGCCCATTCATTCTTCCTGAGTAACCCAGCCCCCACTTCTGCCTCAGGGACCCAGAGGGCCCCATGCACGATGCTCTGCTGCCATCAGTACAAACCCAGCGCCACCAAGGTGGTCGGGAGAGTCCATCCTGTTCCCTGTCCTCTGTGGAGTGTGTTCCGGAACAGATGGCTCTGAATAGCTCCTTAGTGTAAGGGTTTTCACTTATTTGTTTGGTTGTTTAGATGGTTTCTAGGTTTCCTGGATTGTCTCTTTGGGATGCAAATAGTTTCAGATTATCCGAGGGTTGCCTGAAATGATTCCATGGAAGAGAACTGGGGAAAACAAATTACATTAGCATCAAGCAGGAAAATGCTATCTTAATGAAACATTAATTTAAATTTTCTAGTATAAAATCAGCACTTGGAGAAGAGGGTATTTACTAGGTATTCAGTGGCTGCCACATTGCAGATATTTGACGTTTTTAGATGGAATCCTAGACGAGGGCCCAGAGCCTTCCAGAGTCCCTACTTTGGGCACAGGGGCTGCCTGCTACTGAATCGAGGATGCTGCCCTTATTTTTATATGACTCCTTCATTGACTTAGAAGCCACAAATCCAGGGAAGCCAGCATTATTTTTCATCTACAGGGGCAGGAGACGTGGAGATAGACTTCATGCATTATGTTCGTTTACGCCGCAGTCATTCTGCTTTAATTAGTGTCTCCACCTCGTGTCTCACTCAAATAACCATCACTGCCAGGGAGAGGGGTTTAAACAGCGAGGGCCAAGGACTCAGAATAACTCATTTTGATAGTTTCACACCATCAGCTTTTGAAAGATCTAGAAACACGACCCCTTCTTTTAGGACTACAGAACAAAGAAACGATTTCTCAGGAGATAAGAAGATGATACATCTCCATAAATGATTTTTTTTTGGAGGGTCCTTTACAAATGACTTAGAAGTGGAGGAAGAGGCCGTTCCACATTTTATGCAGTGAGAAGCAAAGGATCTGAGTTGTAAAGAAAATGGTTTGGGAACCACTGTTAGAATGCTGTCATCGGCACATTTATTCATTTAACCAATATTACTTAAATTCCTGTGCATCAGCAGGCACAGAGGTTAAAAGGTAAGACACAATTCTTGTCCTCCAGGAGCTCGTGGTTGTTACTAAACACGTGTGATAATGTAGATACTGTGAGCGAAGTTTGATTAGGGGGTCCAGGGCAGGGCTGCCCAGCTTTTTCTTTGGGGTGGGGATTGAGGAAAGGTATTGTGGAAGAGGTGGGCCCAGAAAATGAGAATATTTTGCTGAGGGCAGAAAGGCAGAGGGACGTTCCACCAGAAGGAGTTGCCCAAGTTGGGAGATGGGAGGCGGTCTGGTGCGCTGGGAATTCCAGGTAGCTCATCAGACTAGGTCAGAGGGTTCAAGGTGAGGCATGGGAGACCTGAGGTCGGAGGATCAGATCGTAGGGGGTTGTATACCCTGCTTTAGACCTTGGCTGTCATTCTGCGGACAGTAGGGAACCAGGGAAAGGTTTCAATGAGATGGGTAGTGTTATCAGGATTGTTTCATATAGATTACTGTGGCAGAACGTAGAAGGACGGATCGGAGGGGACAAGACTCCCCGCCTCGAGTTAGGAGGCCACTGGAGGAGTCTGGGAAGCAGCACGTTTAAATAGGAGCCATGGGTTGGGATAGAAGAGACGAATATGAGTGTGCACAAAATAGCATCTCTAGGGCTTAGGGTTTTGGAAGGAGTGGGGAGATGGTTGAGGGGAGATAGGATTCTAGAATAACTGCCAGGTCTCAGATTGGGTAACTGGGTAGGTAATGACCTTTTTTAACTGCATTAAAACATACAAGCACAGGAGGGTCGGTAATGAGTTCTTATGTAGATGTGCTGAGTTTGAGGGCTTTTAAGATGGCCACGGGGAGATGACCGGTTGATTATGGAGGTTGGGTAGGCTTGCTAGATGTTTAAGTTTTCTGAAACAACATAAAAAATTATTTGGTACTTTCCATAACAAACCATTGTAGATGAAGTCCCAGAGACTTGTTTTCTTTCTTTTCTCCAAATTCTGCCTTGTACCCTGATCATTTGTCTATTTCCATGCTATTTTTCATCCAAGTAGGCCCATCTGAGAGACTGCTTGCTATTTTATGTGCTGAATTTATTGCAGGGTGAGAGATTTATGTATTTTATTGGATTAAAGTAATGTGGCTAATATATCCTTAAGGATGTCTTTATACTTGTTCTGAAAATAGTTCCAAAATGAATCTTCTTCTTGATGAGTAGGTATTCCACCAAGCTCAGAGGGAACTGAAAGTGGCAAGCGTTGTGGAGGGCAGGTGCTGTGTAGCAGAAGCTGCTGGTCTGACTGGGGCATTCAAGGGGCAGCACATGTATGATGGAGCACAAGTGTCCCCCAGCAGAATGGTTAGCTCTGGTCCCAGGAATGGGGTATTTTATGCATTAGGGACTGTCACATTATCAGTGTCATATATCCTGGTTAAATTATAGAGCTCATAGTTTCTGTGCCATTATTTACTTAGATGGCAGACACTATCCAAATCTAATTTCAAGGCAACACATAGCATTTTTTTTGAGGACTAGAAAGGCAAAGATATAAACAGTCTGCATTTAAATAAGAGATGAAGAGAGAAAGAGATTCAGAAAGCTGGAAAATTGGGGGCTGAGAGAAGTAACAGAAGCAAATTTAGAGTAGCCCTTTTCCTAATGCTTGGGGAAACTGAGGCTCCGACTGGTTAAAGAGGCACTGTCTGCATGAAACATGGTACCAGAATTCAACAAGCTGGTCTGCTGGTTACCGTGGAGCCTCAGAGACTATCTTGCCCAGGAAAGGGGCCTGGGTAGGAACTGCTCATAAATTGCATGTCCTCCTCCATCTGGGTACGTAGGGGAGCCTCAGCACGTGGTCTCTGCCTTTTCCTCTCCACATTAGTGGTTCTCAGCCCTAGTTGCATCTCAAAACCATCGGAACATCCCCATGCCCAGGCCCCACCCAAGGCCCATTGAGGTAGAGTTGGAGGTTGTGGTGGGCACTGGAAATTGTACAAAGCAACCCCTCCCCCTGGCAGTGATTCTAACATGTGGCCAAATCAGCGTTGAGAACAGCCGCTCCGGGGTCCTTGCCTCCTTGTCTCACCCCCAGGGATAGAGCCGCTCTTCATGCGTCCAGGAGTGTGGAAAGGCGTGCGCACACACAAACACACCAGACATGTTTCCTTTAGGTAGAGGTGGTAGAGGTTCCATTTAATCGAGCTGGATTTCATGATCAGAGAGGGGATTGGCCTGAGCCCACCTTCCCATCAGAATGGAGCAGATACCTGGCTGGGTTCAAGAGCTAGAACCTGGCTCTTTGAGGCAGGAGTTGGGGTTGGTCAGGTCAGCTTGGCCGGTGCTGAGCGTGTATCAGACGGGGATCAGGGTTGATGCCAAGGCGCAGGTTTCCCGGTGGCCAGGGTCAGCAGGAGGTGCGGTGCGGCTGGGCCTTCTGGAGGGAGAGTGAATTGAACACCTTAACCAGGTAAGAGCAGCACTTCTTAGGCCTGGGTGTTCCCTTGCAGCTGTAGCTTGGTTCTCTGGTTCCCTTAGACTAGACAGACATGCTTTTCTCAGGGCAGATGGGCTAGAGGGGAGGCAGCTTTAGAACCTGAAGGAGAGGATGGCTGGTTTTGTTATTAAGTAACAGCCTTTAGAAAAAGACTTCTCTGTAGATTAACTCGTTTAAATCTGGCTTGCTTCTGCTCTCTCAGCTTTGTTCTGACAGCAGACTGGCCCCGCTCTCTTGTTGAAATCACTGCCAAGTGCCAGTCTATTGTGTGTGTTAGAGAAACATACGCTTCAATAGAAATTCATCAATTTAGGGTGAACAAAACCACTTTTTCAATGACTGAAAATGGCTGAGCTGGTA